GCATGCTGTGAAAATTCTAAGCTTGCAGACATGACAGCTGACCATCTTAAGAGCTTAATTTTTGTAACTGGGTTAAAAGGCAAGCATGATGCTGAGATCCGTACAAAACTGTTAGCTGGTCTAGAAGACGATTCAGATCAGAAATTGAGTAAGCTAGTCAGCACGGCAGGCCGTTTGTTAAATCTGAAAAAAGACACGGTGATGGTCGAACAGCCAAATAAAGACGTAAATGCTATTAAGACTCAGACTACCAGAAATAAGAAGCTTGTATCGGGTGTAAAATTGAAGCAGAATAAAGTTCCAAAATCTCCATGCTGGAATCGCGGAGCAATGCACTACGCAGAAAATTGCGAATTCAAAAATCACAAATGTTCGCAGTGTAGTCGCACAGGTCATAAAGAGGGTTATTGCAACGCGCAGAGAAAAAAACCGCAGAAAGGAGGAACCCAGAGCGGTAAAACACAAACCCAACAGCGACCGAAAAGCAACGCAGTAAATTGCGTAAATTTCGCCGCACGTCGAAAATATGTCGAGGTGGTTATCAAACCTATAACGTCAGCTGCAGCTGGCAGGAAAGGAAAAAGCTTCAAGCTACAGGTTGATACCGCTTCCGATGTGACGATAATTGGCAAAGAGAATTGGGGTAAATTGGGCAGTCCAGGAGTCAAGTTAATTAACAGTCACGCCACGAGTGCATCGAGGAATAAAATTCGCTTCATAGCTGAATTCACTTGTGAACTTCAGCTTAACGGGGAAGTAAAACTAATAAAGATTCTTGAAGCAGAGTTTGATTCTTTGAATGTTCTAGGTACAGATGCCTTTGACACTTTTGGTGTATGGGACAAGCCGCTGAGTAGTGTATGTTGTAAAATCAAGCAATCAATACCGGCCATTGAATCTGCAGCTATAACGGACATTAAGCGAAGATATGCAGATGTTTTTAGCGCTGTTCCGGCCAAATGCAGCAAGGCAGTTCAGCTACATTTGAAACCAAATGTACAACCGATTTTT